ACTGACTGACCAGTGAGTCAAGGATTCTCCTGCTGCCTCTTCCCCTGTGCTGGGGTAATAGATGTGTTTCTTTATGCCCAGCATTTTTCTTTCTAACATGGAGATACAATGTCAGGTCCACATACTTGCACAGCAAGCAAGCTACTAACTGAGCCATGTCCTCAGGCCCTCCCTAGCAGTTCTTATTGAAGATACTCATTCCCTATGAACTAGAAACTCTACTGGAGGTACACACCAAATGCACTCTTTAATAACCAAAAGATAAAATCCACACCAATACCTATCGATAGGAGAATGAGTATATGGTCCTGCTGTGGAATCCTACAGACCCATGAAGATAAATGAGCCATAGTGTATGCAGCAACATGGATGAGCCTCACAAATATGATAACCAACTAAAGAGAATAGACACAACAGTATATGGCACGAGTCCACAAATATCCCAAGTTCAAGACCACACCTGTCACCTCTGATCACAGCAATGTTTACGGAGAAGCAGGAAGATTTGGCTGGTTGGGGCTCAGCACTGACTTACAGCACAATCTTTTTGTAAAGAGCAGTGTGATGATGCATTTTCACACTGTGTGGTGTCCATGACAACCCAAATCAATGTGTGGAGATTACATACTCCAATGAGTTATATCCTTATGTTCCCATAGTTTTCTCTATATATGTTAGCTCTCAATAATATTTTAACGGGCTTAGCTTTGCCTAACTACTATATCATAAAAACACCAAACCAGATCAATTTATCCAATTCAGAAAGAATAGAAGAGATCTATGCTGAATGTAAAAAAGCCAGTCTCCAAGGTTACATATCATATGATTTCGTGTATCTCATAGTCTTACAACTACAACATTATGGAGCGAAGAGTTGCATTGCCAGGAATCAGGGCCTAAGCATGGGGAGGGGATTGTCTCTAAATAATAGCACAAAGGCCCTCTGATGGGACAGGAGTGTTTCCAGAAACCACACATGATACACCTGTACAGTCCTGCGTGTTGTGAACACACACACACACACACATACATACACAAACACACACACACACACACACACACACACAGCTGGCAGAATCTGAATATGGTCTGTCCAAGTCCTTTTCTTGACTCTATTACTCTACTACAGTTGGATAAAAATGTCAGCACTGGTAGGGGCAGAATGAAAGGTGAATCAGACCCTTCTCCCGCTCTTCTTGTTGGATTTTTGTTTTGCTTTGTTTTGTTTGTTTGTTTTGTGAATCCAGATATTTCAAATTTTAAAAAAGCTTTTTCCTAAATGAGATTTAAAAGATAAAACTTCCTCACCCTGAACTCAGGATGACTTGATACAACACATAAAACTCTCAATTGCTCAGAAGTGTCTTAGTCTTCAGGGAGTTTTAGTTGAAAATTTTGTAGCCACTCCTAAGTCTTCCCTAGAAGCCCAAGACTCAAGAAAGGAAATATACTTGAACCTAATACCAGATGTGGAAAAACATCCACCACAAGTTAATTGGATGAATACGGAAGGAGGAAACAGCTTTCATGGGGTAGGGGGCATTCATCCCATCCTTACTGTGTGTCCCCAGCCTTAAATCCAGGATCTATAGCAGCTAGAAAATTAGACACTTTGTGATACCTTATCATGTGGCTCCCTGGAGTCACCTGGAACCTACATCTCCCTCCAGTAAACTTTCCATAAGGATAATCATCATGAATTCTCGGAAAACACTGGGACAGAAATGGGAAGGTAAATTGCCCCAACAGCAAATAAGAACAGTGGTGACCACTCAGCAGCCGGGGCTAGTGGCCTAGGTACAGACATTTGGTGATAGACAAAGGCTTTTATGCCCTTCTCTCAGGACCAGCACACAGACAGATCTCTTCACTCTATCAGCCTGACATGAGATGTAGATCAACCCAAAGTCAAGTAGCTTCCAACTTTGGGGAAGAGACTGGGTGTGGGCACAGAAAGAGATGGAGAAGGAGACAAGAATTCAACCAGCCTAGTAGCTGATCATGTACCTGGGATACCTGACCCAAGTGAGGTAGCGCTTTAATCACATAACAGCTAAGCACACGTTTACTCTCGGGAAAGTTCTTCAAGGGTGGCTTCCATATGCAGACTCTTTTAAGGGCCCTGTCACTTGCCTTCAGTGTGAACCTCTAGTCACCAGCCACGGTCTCTCTCCTTTCCTCAGCTGAGCAACAGGGAGTCAAGTCATTATTCTTTCCCTCTCATATTCTCATCGGTCCGTCCTTTAAAAATGGAATGTGGGTGTCAGTGAGGAGGCCCAGGCAATCTATGGGGCCTTGGGTAGTAGATCAGTATTTATCTCTGGCATACAAATGGACTCTGGGTGCCCATCCCACAACGAGAGATGCTCTCTCAGTCTGGACTCTTGGAGGAGGGCCTAGGCCCTGCCCTGGATGAAATGACAGACTATGGACAGCCCCCATGGAGGGCCTCACCCTTCCTGGGGAAAGGAATGGGGATGGGGGGAACAGGAGGTTGGGAGGAGGGTAAGGGAGGAGGGGAGGGAGAGGGAGCTGGGATTGATATGTGAAGCAACCTTGTTTCTAATTTAAATTTAAAAATAAAAAAGGACTCTGAAAAAAATGGAATAATTCCACAACCTAATATAACAGCTAAGATACTCAGTGAATTGGAGGTATGATAGGCTGCCCTTGAGACCAACTCAGAAAAAAAATCTAGTTAGTGGGTCATCTGTACCAGAACAGAGGAAATACCATGTGTACAGTGTGTGTGTGTGTGTGTGTGTGTGTGTGTGTGTGTGTGTGTGTGCAAATGGGCCCCCAAAATCTTCCTGAAATGCCTGTCCCAATTTTAATAACTTCCAATTCTGAGAAAGAAGAAATAAGATAATCCAACTCAAGCCTTCTGCTGAAGCTAAGAGAAAATCTGGACAAAATATGTTTTAAAATGTGTTTGAAAGCACTCAAGAATTCACCAGATACTGAAGAACTCTCGAGTCCAGATTGGTTGGCAACACAACTTCAAAGTGCTCCTGAGGCTAGCACCCCAAAGCGACCTCAGCCTGGTGGCATATGTCAGCAGGTGAAGAGAACCATCACCAGGAGGGAGTTAAGACTCTGCCCCAGTTTCAGTCTTGTCACTGTGGTAAAATACCCTGACCAAAGACAACTTAGAGGAAACAGGAGTCTATCCCAGCTCACTATGCTAAGTTACCATCCATCACTGGGCAGCAGAAACTTAAAACAATGGGTCACAACCCATCTACTGTCAAGGGCAGAGAGAATTGAAGACATTACTCATACTTACTTGAATTGCTTTCTTCTGCAGTTCAGGACCCACTGCCTATGGAATAGTGCTGCTGCTCACAGTGGGCTGCATCTTCTCAAAACAATTACTTAACTAAAATAACTACCCAAAGACAGACCCACAGGCCAACCCAAAGCAGACAATCCTTCTTTTGAACTCTCATCCCAGGTAATGTTTGGTCAAGTTGATGATGAAAGCTCACTATCAAGATGCTAAAAGACCTTAGCCTCAGATGAGCCCTAGAAACACATACTGTACCCTCAATGCATCCTCCCGAGGGGCAAGGTCAGCATCCACCTTCAGATGGAACACACATTTATGTCCATTAATGACTGCAGAAGCTTATAAGAATTGATTTCTCTTAATCTTAGAGCACACTGTAGTCAGAGCAGTGATAGCTTTGATGGCCAGTTGTTAGAAACACAGCTCCAAACCCTGACATTGTGCCTAAGAGAATGTGCAACTCCCCTGGTGACAGTCGCCTCTGTGACACATCTCTTGGGCAGATGTGGCAGCTAAGAGTGAATCCTATTCAAATCCATAAGATGTTTAGCTGATTTATTTTGTCTGCTGTCATTACTAAGCAAAAAGACAACAACCCTGGAATCTTTCACTCTAAACTCTGTTTTGCTATACATCCCTGCCAAAGTACCCTCCCTTAACCTACAAAGCATGGAGGTGGAGAGGGATGAGGGAGGGGGAGGGGGAAGAAGGAGGCTAACAATGGTGATGTGATGACACCCACAGTGATTATCACAGTGACTGGAAAGGTAATACACTAAACAAAGGATCTGGAAACTACATACACATTTAATAAATTGTCACTATTACTAATTGTAGCAGAAACTTATCTTGATATTGAAGTTTAGTACAATAACAGTGACAAAATAGTTAAGAATATTCATAGCTACAGCTAATGGGTCAGTGTTCCTCCATGAGTCTCAAAATAACTAATAACATTGAACACTCTTTTCCTATAGTTTTGGGGTTTCTTGTTTGTTTGTTTGCTTGCTTGCTTTTTCTTTTGAGACAATATCTCATAGATCCCAGGCTGTCCTACAACTTTCTACTTTGCTAAAGATGACCTTAAATTCTGGATCCCCCTGCCTCTATTTCCCTAATGTTGGTCCTATAGGTGTGCACCATCACATCTGGTACGTGCAGTGCTGGCTGGGATGAAGCCCAAGGATTCACACATGCTAGGTAAGCACTCTATCAATCAATCTATTATCACCACCACCACCCTCCAGCCTACCACTGAACATGCTAGGGCAAGTAATTACACGACCAAAAGTTTCACATGGCTGCAAGATGACAGGTCTGGTATTGCAGATTCTGGAAATAGAAAACTTTACCTATGCCACTAGAGACCCTGTGCTGGGTTGAGAGACAAGAAACACACAAGCAAGGCTACAGGCAGCTAAGAGATCACAATGATGTGGACTTCCAAATGAGACAGTCTAAGTCAGGGGACCGGAAATTTGGAAGTGACTTGAGCAATTCAATGGGGAAAAATCTCAGTGGGGCAGCAATGTCCCCAGAGAAGTTTGAGCTGCTGAGATGTCTGCACTCCTGAACAATGGCTAAGAATAGACACAGGTCCAGACACTATCCCTACAGGGTATATATGACCAGACAGCCATGCCAGCTACCTGCGCCCACCATGGGCAGGTGACAGAAAACAGGGCAGGAACCCTCCAAGAGCTTTACTTACTTTCTCTGACATCCTCCTGGACCACGGGGACACCATGGTCATCTCGGGCAGCTTTTTCAAGACTCTTGCTTCTTCGGCCTTTTCTGTTGCTATTTTTACCTAGAAAGAAAAAGGGAGAGAGATGTTGTTACTCCGCGTATCAGAGAAGCCTCTGATTGTGAGAATTCATGGTCCACTCCTGCAGAAAGCTGCTCCCAGCCTTGCCCCCCAGCCCCAGAGCCTTGGACTCCAGGGGACTTGTGGTTAAAGAGGAGGATGCTCAGTGCATATGGAGATAATCACCCCTCACAAGACCCATGCACAAATGTATGCTGGTAAAGCACTGTAAGCCTACAAAATGCTGCTGAGCCTTCCTGCGACACTAGGAGTGCGAGCTGGAACTGGAGGCCAAAGCTGGGCTTGGACATCAGAGCTGGCATGTTTCCCCATGCTGAGCTCGCACACCCAGCTCTCTCCAAGGCCATGGCTTGCAGACCTGTGAGTCAGTTGCTCACTAACTGAGGAGTGACCTGGGATCCCTCTGTGACCCTGTTAACCTTCCAGTTTCTCCTCACTTCCACCCTGGTTATAACAACACTTGGCATAAATTGTCCCCCTCACAGGTGCAGCCATCCCTCTACTCTCAAGCTAATTGGCTCCTTCCATTGCAAGTCTCAGTTCTGGCATCATCTTAAACTGCCTTTCCTGACTCCTCACTTCAATCTAATCCTCCTTGGAGGGGCTCTGATAACATCTGTCTAGAGTCAAGTTGCCTCTAAGCAAAGCCTAAATGCAGGGGGTTCATTGCCTGAGAAGCACTGAGGGAAAGGAAGGGGAAGGGGAAGCAGGATCCAGTCAGGGAAGAAGCAGAGCGAGCCTGTCAGCTCATCACCTGGAGCTTTGGGAGCAGGAAGGGCATACAGAATGCTCTCCACTTGAGCATAAAAACTAGCCAACTCAGGGTTAGGGGTGCAGCCTTCCAGAGAGGAGAAGAGATCTGACACACTCAAACTCCAGGGTGCTACTTGGGGGACAGGTACATCCTCTCCATCTCCTCTCTTCAACAGAAGGTAGCAGAACCTTCCTTTCACACAGGAAGTTAGAGCGAGGATACAGATGATACCTGTAAGATACTCAGGGTGTGAAGAAAAGCTGTTGTCTCTACCTGGCCAGCAATATCTGGAAGTCAACACGACACTATCACTAACACTACCCTTTTGCTAACAGTTAACAGGGGTGGTAGGCTCCAAAATTTACAAGACATGTTCACTACAAAGTTCCATCTTCTGTGGATAGAAAGGACATTTTACAGTTGGGAACTAGAGCAGTGGTTCTCCACCTTCCTAATGTCTCAACCATTTAATATAGTTCCTCATGTTGTAGTGAACCCCAACCATAAAATTATTTCATTGCTACTTTATAACTGTAATTTTGCTACTGTTATGAATCATACTATAAATATCTGAAATGTGACCCCTCCCAAGAGATCTTAACCCACAGGTTGAGAACTACTGGCCTAGAGTGAGGAAGAGGGTTTCCCAAGGTCACTGACAGCTAGGAGGTAACTGAGCTAGTGACCAGCTCCAAAGGGCCTTCCTTCCCTGCCAGCACAAAGGCCTCTTCCATGGAGCCTTCCTCCCCCAGAACAAGAAAGGCACCATATGGTCTCTACAGATGAAAGAAGAAAGAGAAAGGGAAATAGTGTTGGGAGAAGGAGCCAGAACCCAATCACCATCTCCATCTGGACCGCATGACAATGCAGAATTCCTTAAAAGCAGCACCGCACTGCTAATGCTGGCCACATGTTCTATTCTGGTGCACCAAGATAAATATAAGTCCTCTAGCTTAATAGAAAACGATTTTCTCCCTTGCTACACAAGGAGCTTACAGTAGCAACCGCCTCCAACTCCCCGACCCCAAAGTGAAAAGCCTGCTTTGCTTCCCTGCAGTCCAGTTTCCCCAGGAAATCCCAGGCCTCAGAGCTCTGCACTCCCCCTGAAGGAGGGAGCTGGTCCAGGGCTCTGGCAGTTCTTGCCTATTTCTTGGTAAGGAACCCACAGCTGGAAGGGAAAAACATCATATAAGATTCTCTCAGTAACTCCCCAGAAATGCAACCTAAAAGTCTCTCTTATGCAGGTGTTAGGAAAGAGGTGTGTGTGTGTGTGTGTGTGTGTGTGTGTGTGTGTGTGTGTGTGTGTGTGTTCACTTGTGTGTGCATGTGTGGGGGTACATGAGCAAGTTTGTACACATGCATGTGGACATCAGAAGACAACTTCAATTTTTCCTCAGGCACTGTCCACCTTTTTTTTTTTTCAATTTTAAACAAAGTCTCTCTCACTCACCTGGAATTTGCCAAGCAGGCTAAGCTGGCTGGTCAGCAGTCCCAGGAATCCTCCTGTTTTTAGTTTTTTGTTTTTTCTCCAGTGCTGGGATCATTTTATTTTAATTGAGACCTGATCTGAATCTGATGAAAGCTTTCTCCTTGAGGACTAGTTTTCGTGGCATCAGAAGGCATCATGAAGCTTCCCAAGGAGGGAAGCAAGCAAGAGTCCTACCCAGCTGTGATGCCTATGATCCACAACAAAGTCCAGCACAGCATGATAACTCTTTAACTGAACTTAAGTTCACTCATGCTGGTACTGGAAGCCTAGCTGCTCAGGGCTGTGAAGCCATTGGTCTTGGAGAAAAACCTACAACCAGCACTTTGTTAAACCAGCATAATCCCTAACTACATTCTAAATATTTGTCCGTATACCCATAGATAAGTGTAGTTCTCACCCCTCACCAAGGAAACTTCTCTTTGCAACAGATAAAGACTATTACAGACAACCACAACCAATCAAAATGCAGAGGACAAGAGATTATGTGGTGCCTGGTCCCAACTGATACATCTATAGTGTAATTCCTGTACCTAAGATCCATGGATCATTGCAAGAAAGGACGAATAAAAACTGTAAGAGTCAGAGAACAGGACATTTTCCAGGATTGTGTCTCCTAGAAATGAGAGAGGCTATATCCATGATGTCTTATCAACATAGAGGCCTAAAATATTCCTGAACAGTGACAATATCAGTGGATATTCTAACATGAAAAAGGGACAGTTCAATGGGGCCTTAATCCTAGACACAGAACTATGAGTAATGCTGAGAACAGAGGAAACGGATTCCTGGGGAAGAGTTTCCTAACTGGCTATCCAACACCAAGTGGTGAGCCCTGAGATCATGTACATATAGGTGACATTATAGGAATTGAACAGGTTGTAGTTATGTATTTAGGAGAGAGAGAGAGAGGTGTATGTATTTAATTAAAGAAGAGGGCCATGAATTTGACAGAGAGCAAGGGAACGCGTCAAGGGACAAGGAGGGGACAGCCTGCGCCCCTTTCCAATTCTGAGGAGAGTCAGTGTCAGAGGAAACAGAGTGTGGGGTGGAGTGGAGTGAATCTGAGAATCATCTCAATGCTTGAATGATATGCTTGCTTCCAGTCAGGGGCAACCTCAGTGGTCAGACAGGGAAGGAACACTGAAGGGTCACCAGGGACACAGCAGTGCCACTACACTAGAGACCCAAATCAATCCACCTACTAACACGCCCCCGGCACCTGTCTATGGCTATGCTTCTCAGGTGCTGGCTCCTTCCTGGGAAAACAACCCTATGAGCTTCTATCTCCTGGGACCAGGGCACAAGGATAGTGGGCTCAGCTGGCACTGCAGTGTCTCTGAAACCACCACTCCCAGGGTTCTCAACCTGTGGGTTGTGACCCCACTGAAGGTCACAATGGTCTTTTTAGAGGGGTCGCCTGAGGCCATGGGAAAACATAGCTATTTACATTACAATTCATAACATAATTCAAAATTACAGTTATAAAGTAGGAACGAAAATAATTTTATAGCTGGGGGTGGGTCACCACAACATAAGGAACTGTATTACAGGGATCTCTGCAGTCAGTCCCCCTCCTGATTCTCAACCACAGCCATGTGAGATTCACTGTCTCTAAGGAAACATCCCAGTAACAGAAGCAGGCAGGTAGGTGCATGCAGGGGGAGTGTGGGCCCTCTGTGGGCTGTGCGGGTAGCCTGGGCACCTATCTGCCCGGGTTTTGGCTGACATAAACAGGCAGGTACTGCAGGACCGTACCTGGGAGATGACTTCATGAAGCTTGAGAGGAAGGGGCTAAGAGGAGAAAGGAGATGCCAGCAACCTGGAGGCATTGTCTGTCAGGGTCTACAGGATACAACTTGTCAGGTACTCCAGGGGCAGGGGAAAGGTAAAACAAAACTGCCCACCCCACCCCTGTCAGAACTGGGGAGGCCACACCCATTAACCTCAGCAGGAAGTATGAGTATTATGAACACAGTCCTCCATGGAGGAACCAGAGGCTTGGAAAGTCACATAAGCACTTAAGGAGCAGAGTTCCATCCCTAGTTGTCTCTAAATCCTCAGCAGGCTTACTAGCGAGCATTGCACATACCTTGCATGGAGTAGATAGAATAACCAAGTCTGTGACACAAGAGGCTGATTAACACAGGAAGGAGGGCGTTCTTCATCATGTTAGTCACCCATGATCGCCAGTGAGCTGCTGGATGGAGGCCAGCCACTTAGGGATACTGACTTATTCCACAGCCAGTCAAAGAAACCCAACTCGAAGGTTTCACAACCCAAGTGGCAGCTTCATGGACAGGGACCTGAGAGGGCCTCAGAGGGCAGAACCTGTCACTCCTGGGTGACACTAAGCCTAAGCACTAGTCTTCCTAGCCCCTTGGGACATGCAGCAAAGGAGGCCTCACCACAAAATCCAGACTCTGGAGCTAAAACTGGTTTTGTCCCGGGTCTGAAGCAGGGTCACCTTGAGATTTGGCAGTCACAGATATAAGAGGTAGATGGGGGAAATTCCATGACTGTTTTAAAACCACAGCATGCAATCGGGCTTCCTAGACCCCTGTAGGGTCTCCAACCTCTTTCATCCAGGCCCAACCCTGATTTCTGGAACCATAGGCACAGGCAGGAAGAGCAAGCCAGCAGTGAGTTAGCTTTGGAAAGAGTTCTGGAAAGGGTGGTAGTGTCTCAGAAATAGATGCCTTTTTTCCTAATCCATCCTTTCCCTTAGAGCTTTGCAGGGAG